CGACTGATCTGCCTCGCCCGGGAAGAGCGCAATGATGGTGCCAACTTGGGCCAGTGAAGCAATGTCCTCCACAACTAGACTGAAGAACAAAACTACAGCAACTTGTCTGTTCCCCTTCCCCCGATTCCCCAATAAAAAAAATCTTAAAAAAAAAAACAAAGAACAACCCAAACCTTTAAACCAGCACTGTCCTGGGAATGAGACCCAGGTCTGGGGCCCTTACTGCTGCAAATTAGCGGGTGACTCTGGCATGTCCCAACTTCACTGGATTCTTGGTTTTCTCATCTCTAAACTGAAGGGGTTAGAATAGATTTCTGAGAATGTTCCCAGCTTTAATAGTCCACCATGGACTCTGAACACAAAAAATATTTTCATAACCCATCATTGAGTGATGAAAAAAAGGACTCTGCTCTGAAGGCAGGCTAAGTGTGACAGTTTCTGAGCCTATCACCTCTCTCCTGAGCTCTGTGCCAACACCCTGGGTAAATGAAGCTGGGCTCACACCCAGTCACCCTCCCAATGTTCCAGCCCTGGAAGTCAGGGAAGCAGACACTATCATCACAAGGAGAGGGAGGGCAGCTCTCCAGGAGAAGGAGCTTAGGGGCCTCATTTGCAAAGCTCCTTCTCCCCACACAACTGTGTGCCAAAAGGAAAAAGGAAGCCCAGGGCAAGGAGGTGGAGATCAGCAGCCAGCCGGCTCTCTTCTCCCCACACAGGATCCCAACCAGATGTTGCTCTTCACAGGGCCACAGCTGCTTCCTGTACTGCCATATCCTGGGGCTGCCTGATGGACAGACTGTCTTGCTTGAATGCAGAAGTTACTTCTACCACAGTTTGCACAATCATTTCTGGGGCTGGAGATGTGGTTTAAGACTTTCAAGCTGCTATTAATACAGGACCAACCCAGGCCAACTATTTTGCCCACTGCTAGCACTGGAGACAAGCTCTCTGCATCTTTGGGCAGCTGACTGCCTCTGTCAGATAGCAGCAGACATTTTATTTCTGATTCTGACAGGACAAAAAAAGAAAAGAAAAGAAAAGAAAAGAAAAGAAAATGATTACACAACACACACATCAAAAGGCTAACAGATCCTTAATAAAACTCAAATTCCAGTATTATATAGCAGTTTTGTAATTAAAGCAAAACAGTTACCAGAAGACACTGGCAGAAAAATGCAAATGTTCTTTCTTTACTCAACTAATAGAGATGACTGCGTTACATAAGAGACAAGGTCCTTGCAAAGGTTCTGTCAAGAAGCATTAAGCAACAAGAGGAATGTTCGGAATTCTCTGATGTTACAAAGAACAAGCTACCAAAATCTGCCTTGAGGGCTCCCATTGGCTAAGTTACCTTGAGAACAAGAAAGAAGCATAAAAATTTCACTCTCCTGATAGTGTATAATAATTTTGTTCTAGTCTCCTTTGTGTTTGCTTTGATCCTTGAAGGGTTTCAAGGTGGGAAAGCTCATTCTGTGAGTTGAAGGAAGGAACCCTCCAAGGATTTCTCCACCTGCAGGAAACTTTGAGGCTGCCAATGACCTGAATACAAGCAGGATGAGCTAATGTGCCAGGTGACATCCTGACAAAGCAGAAACCTCAGGACTCAAAAATCACAGTCAGCACAAGCAAGCTTTCCTAGAACTGGTTGTGAGCAGACATGAAACAAGAGGCATAGGAGCTTGACGCTAACAGGGGTCCCATTTCTCATCAGAGAAAAAGAAGACCCCTGTGCTCTTAGTTCAAAGGCAGAAAAGTTTTGGCTTTAAGTAGGAAGTCTGTTTCTTCCTCCATTGTTTGTTCAAAACATCAGGCCAGCTCATAGGTCAGCACATTTCAACTACCCTGCCACCACACACAGGTCCATCAGACCAACATTCCTTGTGCTTCAAGACCCTCAGAGCCCCCTCACTTCTTCTCCCTCCTTAACCTGGACTCTCCTATCTAGCCCAAACCAGTTCAAACTAGACCCAAGACGTGAAATTCATATCAAGGCCATATTTCAGATTGGGTTACCTTCTCACCCTCCCCCAGCCTTCCCTTCCTGACAAACCTCAGGGGGCTCTATCTTATACTCTAATTTGGCTGTAAGGGGGGGGGAGGTGGCGAGGCGGGGTTGTCTTGGGATTTTCCACATTTCTCCATCCGACTAAGGCTTCCACCTCATTATGCTGCTGTCACTGCCTCTCCTAATGTGATTCAAGCCAAGACTGCGAGATGTGGTAGCCATATTCCCCCCTCAGGTGAAGTCACTCCTCTCCCTGACGCTGGGTGGGGGGGGGCAGTCCGCTCCAGTCCCCTTCCTCAGCAGTGTCCCGTCAGAAGAGCTTCGCCTGAAGAACTAGAGGGTCCCACTTCTTTCCAGACTACAGCGCCCCGCCCCTCCAGTTCCACCTGTTGCTAGTCCCGCCCTCCAGACGCTACAATAGGCCAGCCCTCAGAGCCCGCTCTCCCATTGGGCAGTCTGGCCGTCCCTCCTACGCCACGTCTCCCGGCTCTGGCGAAAGAGGCCCGGGTGGCGGCTTTCGGCACTAGAAAGAGCTGTAAGTTGGAGGCTCTACCTGGAAAGGGTTTATGTCCACTGGGTCCGCGAAGGGGTTGGTGTCGAAGGCCGACATGGCGGTCGGGGGCCGACGAGTGAGCTCCGCGAGCTCCGCGAGAGCTTCTGCCTCCGGGCACCCAGACCCAGCGGCACTCTTCGGCTAGACCCTCCACTTCCGGGAGCAAGGCAGACGTTCTGGCGCAGGCGCAGCGTCCTCCCGAGGGGCATGGTCCTGTACGTCACAGAGGCCCGCTCCGCCCTTTTGGCCAGCCCACTATTACAGGTCCGGGGTGTGCGCTCTGCATCCATCTGCTGCTCCTCACCTGTACCCGTCCTTCGTGGGTCCCAGCGGCGCAGAGGGACCAGGGAGCCAGTGGCGGGGCCGAAACCGTTCTCTACTGCCTGTTGGTCTGATAGCGTCCAAAGAAACTCCCCAAAGTAAACTTCCCAAGTTAAATGCCCAAAGTGGAGCCGGAAACTTAACCCTTTCACTTCCCTGTAGGGCAAGTTTGGGAAGCCCTCACTGGTCCAGGCAGGGAAAGCAATGTGAGCCTACTTATATGCGGGAGGGTTCTGATGGTAGGAGCCTAGCTGAGGGATTCTTTTCGGAAGAACCGACCGTGCAGCTGTCCCTCACAGTAGCTGGGCGCTGCTGCTTATTTAGGCCTTGCCCCCGATGCCCAGACAGGTTTAGTGCTTAAGCTGAGATTTGAACCTGGGCATCAAGCATTTGTTAAGTGAATAAGGGAGTTCAGCAATAGAGTCATCAGCCATGGGGGAGATGGCTGCACTCCCCCACAGGCTTTACCTTATTTATTCATATTTCTCTGGCTTTATTCGTCTCTGCTGCCACCGAATCCAGCCCAGCCACTGTCATTGTTTACCCTGGACTAGTATAGGGCTGCTAATTGGTCCCTTGTTTATGTAACCAGAGATCTATTTAAAGGGGACAAAATGATTATGGAACTTTCGGTTTAAAATCATTCCATTATTTTCCATAAAGGCCCAAATTCTTAGTCTGGCCTCTAGGTGCTGCAGTATTTGCCCCCAACTACCTATCCTCCCCACCCCTTTATTGTGCCCATCCCCATGCATTCCTGCCCTCCTAGTGACTTTTCAGTTCCTCAAACTTCCCTTGTTTCCTCCAGCCTCAGGACCTTTGCACCTGATATTCTCTTGTTTGGTATGCCCTTAGCCCCTGCTCTCATCATCACCTAGTTAACTCTTACTTATCCTTCAAATCCAAGCTCAGATGCCCCTTCCTCAGAAGTGGCCTCTTTTCGCTCTGTAGGTTAGATCAGCTCCCTACCCCACAACATAAACTCATCATTACCCTCTACTTTTCCTTGATCACATAAGCATGATATATTGTTAACTCAGTCTCTCCTCTAACCCCTGCCTGAAGGATGGAAGGTGGGGCTGAAAGTTCTAAGCTTCTCATCACAGCTTGGTGTTCCTGGTGACAGCCCCATCCTGAAACTATCCAGGAGCCCACCAAGAGTTTCCTCATTAGGACAAAAAGTGCTCAATCACCCATGAAATTCCAAGGGATTTAGGAGTTCTGTGTGAGAAACAAGTCAAAGACCAAATATTAGAACAAAAGATGCCCCTAGCACCTTCATTGCTTAGGAAATTACAAAGTTTTTAGGAGTTCTGGCGAGGAGCTGGTTATTATATCACAGTATCACAGGCAGCATACAGAGATCTTTGATGTGTGAGACGACAGTCCACACAACACAAGGCTGTCCTGCCCCCTCCTTGTCTGTCCAGGCTAGTATAATGCTGAGCTGGTGAAGAAGGGATGGAACTTGATATCATCAGTGTGGAGCTTGCCTACCCAGCTATCTTTGAAGACCCCTGGGATCTGTCCACTTCCCTGTGAAAAAAACATAATGCAGTTAGTCATTCATTTATTCAACAAGGGAGGAGGTATCGCAGATTGGAACTCTATGCTCTTGAACCAGTTACTTCATCTCTCTGAGACCCATTTTTCTCATCTCTAAAATGGGGCTATGACAGTACCTATCCCATAGAGTTGTCTTTAGAATGAAGTGGGGGGGGGCAGGCAGGGTGTCTCGGTTAAGAGCGTGAGCTCTGAGCAACAGGGTTGCCGGTTAGATTCCCACATGGGCCAGTGAACTGCGCCCGAGCTGAGCTGCCAATAAGTGGCAGGATGGCTCAGCTGGTGGGAGCATGTGCTCCTAACAACAAGGTTGCCAGTTCGACTCCCGCATGGGATGGTGGGCTACACCCACTCGCAACTAAGATTGAACACAGCACCTTGAGCTGAGCGGCCGGATGGCGACTGGACTTGGAGCTGAGCTACCTGCGCCCTCCACAGCTAAGATTGAAGGACAACAACTTGGCTGTTCCCCTTCCCCAATTCCCCAATAAAATCTTAGAAAAAAAAAAAGAAAGAATGAAGTGGGAGAATTCTTGAAAGGGGTTTAGCACAGGATTTAGTGCATAACAATAAATGTTAGCTACTGTTATAGCTTCAGTCCTCAGCTGGGCACTGGCAGAAATGTGACACTGAATTAAACATATGGTCTAGTAGGAAAGCAGATCATCACAGGGTAATAAAGTGTGATCAGTTCTACTACAGATAGACAAGCAAGAGGTAATGGTGAAAGGTTCTAGGTTCTCTGAACACCCTCGTTTCCCCTACAGATAAATTTTCCTGGCATGGGGTAGGGGCTCTGTCCCAACAATCTAAGTTCTTCCTTCCCTGTTCCAAGATACTATGAGGAAGTGACTCTAACTGGCTTCAGTGTGGTGGTAGTAGAAGGTGCTCCAAGAACCCCCTGTGCCTAAACTAATTCCTCATTCTTCTCCCAGAAGGTTGATGGCTGGGGGAGTGGAAATGAGGAGGAGAGGTAGTCAAAGTTAGGAGATATGTGAGATGTGCTCTTTGTATGAGTCTTGTGTTTTCCATTTTATTATTCCTTAGTGTATGGTGAAGCTTCCTTTGAAATGCAGGCTGATTTATCTACGTCAAGGGATCCCAGGGGAGGTTGATATTCACAGCTAGACAGAAAATTACAGAAACACAGTACCTCCCTCTTTTTCTGGGCATGTGTAGTAGAGACTGTAGGAATTGGTGTGGAGGGAGGGGGAGAGGAGGCAGAGTCAGGACTGTAGCCCCTCACTCCAGGTTCCCTGGAGCTTTGGCTGCTGTGTTCCTGGCCCCTCCAGCAGGCTGTCTTCCTCTAGGACTTTTGACTGTGGAGGTCCAGATGTCAGCTTTTCTCCGCAGGATATAGGAAGGTTACTCCACAGCCAAGGCTCAGCCCATCTTTTGCCATGCAGGGCTTGGGGTGACTCTCCCTGACTTCTGTATGTGCGACTTGTGGGCAGCTCAGCCTGGAGGAGGGGCTGGGTTCTGAGTTCTGCATTACTTAGGACAGGGAGGATGAGAGAGCACCCAGCACAGAATACTTTTCTGCATATCACTCATCCCATCTTCCCCTCCAACAAGCCTGTCAGGCCGACATTATTATCCCATTTTACAGAGAAAGAAAATGAAGCTCAGACACGTTAAGAGCCTTGCATGTGACATGTGCCATCATCAAGCATCAGTGAGTCCCTGCCTAGAGCACAGCAATTCTTTGCTCAAACCCATTAATGACTGCGATGCTCAGAATACAACGTGAAGTCCTCACAACAGTCTCCAAAGTTCTGTCCAGGGCCTTTCCTCTCTGATCACCCCTGTCCTGCTCACTCAGCTCCAGCCACACTGGCTTCTTATTGGCCATTTATTGCAGAATATGACAGGCACACTCCCACGTTCCCACCTTAGGGCCATCTAGCTGTTTCTTCTGCCCAGAACATTCTCT